GGAGCGCCACCACGCTCCCAAGCGGCGCACTGTAGCAGTGCGCCACCAGGCCGGCCCGAGAACATGACTATTTTAAAAATAAAGTTATAATTTCAAAAGACAATACATATATTTGTAAAGTGCTAAATGTGAAAAAATAAACATACATATTTTTCACAAACATGAAAAAATATACAACCCCAAACTGATCTCTCCAAAGATAGTCATTGTTAAAACCATTGTCAAATTCCCAGAAACTCCTCTCCCACCAGAGTTCCCATTCCAAGATTGACTATTCTCTTGAACTCAGCCATACCTTCCACCCCTGCCTTGTCCCGAAGTCTATGGATACCTCTTATGGAAGATCTAAGAGGTCATGGGCCCAAGTATGTCAACACTATTGATCACATAGTAGGTGAGAGAGCCTTTTACTTACGTCATTGTCATCCATTCAAAAAACCCTATGAGATTCTCATTACTATCTTTACTTTTCCTATGATGAAAATACTTTCTTTGGATTCAAGTGACTTGGCAAAAACCACACAACTTAAAATTAATGGAACAATCTTTCAAAGCTCCTATGTATATAGCTCAAAAGCCTGTGTCCGGACCACTGCTTATAGTGAATTCAGTCTTCTCATGCCTCAGAATTCCTCCTAGAAATAGGAACTCCAAATGGATAACCATTTGGCAAGAATAATAAGAAAATGACACCACATGTGTAGGGCAGGACAGTGAGGAATGGGTATGGGCCATGCCATGTGTCACTTCCATCAGTCAGTGGATGGTTTTGGCTGGAACTGATAGTGAGCACACAGTGGAGCAGTATTTCCTGCAGAAGAATGTTGACATACTCCTTCCCTGGGCTTGAGGTGTGGATGTCTGGGAGCTTGCAGGTTTGGAGTCCTGGCATTTCGATGCAGACGGAGAGAATGCAAGAGTTGTGGGGAAGTTTTCAGAGGTGGGAGGACCATTTAGGTCTAAAAGCTACAGTGAATCCATTCTTTCTAGCTGAGATAAACCTTGGGTTGTAAGCCCATTCACACTCATGATGTGTGTCTGTACCTTCTGGTTCACCTCCTGTAGGATCCCACCTGCTGAGAGCACCAGTTTTATGTTGTGGCAGTCTTCTACTTCAGAGAGGGTCACTATGAGACTCTCATCAAACACTAGGT